ATCGAGAGTTGCGTGGCGCTCAAACAAAAGAAGAATCGACGAGATTTGAATATCACGTAACTCCGGGTTCGTGTAAGTCAGGGTAGCGTAAGTCGAGGTATTACTGTAATAATAATAATAATAAACCCTGAGGTAAAATATCTAAGATCGCCATATTTTTCTTACGTTACATTCTATAACAGAGAAAATAATCTTCCATCGGACAGACTTGATTATCATTAATCTTTTTCAAATGTAGCCTTATGATTCATAAACTTATTAAATATAGAACAAACAACCAAATTTATCTGATTTATAATTATATCAGGTACTTTCTCACCGTATGAATCAATTTTCGATTAAATTTATCTAGAAATCATTATATACAGAATATTTATAACAAAAATACTTACTAAAAGTTTCAGTTGTCAGACTACAAACAATGGAGAAACGAAACTAGAATGAGCTTATCCACGTGTTGACCGTTACCTCCTGCTGTGTACCTAATTCGAACTTGGGAAATAGACTCGTCCAGTTTAGGAGTCGAAGGGTCAAATTAGCTTAATATATCTCTTACCGTCGTCTAATTATATTTGGTCTTTCGCATCCGAGCAGTGTTAAATAAAATATATAAATATGTTTTGAAAATACAATATAGATGATTTATTGTCATAATCGAAAACGCATGATATATCGAACAATGTTGTCAATGTGTGTTCCGCGGTCCCCGAGGTGTTGTAATGTGTTGGTCCAGTCCAAAACTCCGGGTACGTTCGTAAAGTCGAACGAGTTAAACTAAAATGACGTTATCGTTATTCTTATTTCGTTAGACTTTTCGAACAATTCGTTTATAACTAAACTAGTAGCCTGGGACGCCCCTTAGTGGGCGTTATTTACAAATTTCGATGAGGCACGGTTCCTTTGACTTTTTTTTCCTATCAATATGCTGTACAGCTCTGTTAAAGTCCCAATGGTAAGATTTACCCTCCGAATGAAGAGGTGGCGACCCCCTCACACCGTAGACCCCTGTACTAACAATAAAGTCGCGAGTAGGGGTATGGTTCCTTTGACTTTGACTTTATTGTTCGCACAGGGGCTACAGTTTGGAGGGGTCGCCACCTCTTTATTTGGAGGGTAAATCTTACCATTGGGACTTTAACAGAGCTGTACAGCATATTGATAGGAACAAAAATGTCAAAGGAACCGTGCCTCATGGAAATTTGTAAATAACGCCCACTAGGGGTTACTAGTAGATAGATCTGCTTTAGTTCATTTTCACAGAAAAGCAAACTTAGGGCGTCGTACTCGTAGCGCCATCTGTTGGACGTAAAAGCCTTAACCCCAGATGATATGTTTTAATTTATATGAATGTTTAACGGGATAATATACAGCCTATGTCCACCCTGAAGTTTCATTCTAAATATTGGTGAAAGAATTTTTGAAATCGGATGAGTAGTTTCGGAGATTACCTGCTGCAAACAAACTTACATACATACTTACAAACATCACCTCTTTATAATATTAGTATAGATAAAACTAAAAAATGTAATTACAAATAAGATTTTTATTAACAGAAAAAGTAGAAAAAAATTTACAAACTTCCTTCCTGTCCTTTTAGGTATTTAAAAAAAACGAAACAATGGAATAATGCGTTAATATGAAATGCAACTTTGACGTAAATTGTATATAGTTTTACAAATTTTTAACACAAACCTGGGGCATTATTCTAGTCATAGTCTCTTGTCTCTGAGAGACAGCATATGTCAGAAGCTGGTCTCTAATTGGCTAATTGTTTGTTATATTGAAATTTCTACATTTTGTGGATTACCAAAAGATAGGAAAACTCTTATTTTTCTGTAATAACATTATTTTAACACAGCATTTAAATTAAATGGCACATGGATGTAATTGTATATCCCTAATATTGAACAGTTAGATTGCTGGACTAGTCTGACAGAGCAAATGTGTTGATCAATTTTAATAACAATAAAATATTGTATTTTAGTTGAAAATTTATGACAAAATATATTATTTTCATTGATTAATACAATTTATTAACCAAAAAGAAGAAAATGAAACATTAAAAACCTAAGTAAATAAAAACAGCAATATTATAAAAGACTAGGTGGATATATAATACTTTTAACATAGTATTTACATGTCATTTATCAGTAAAATAATCAAATTTTTCAATACAAAATAATTTTTTTTATATTTTATTTTCACATAATTTAAAACACAATTTGATTTTATCTTTAGAAAATATTAGAATTAACAAAATAGAATTATACATCATCATATTTAACAGTTTTAACAATAGTTATAACTATTAATAACTCATATATATATACTGTATATACACCATAGTTATAAGCATATTATACAACTTTGTTTCATTAACAATATCTTTAATGTGGATTTTTAACATGTAGAATACATTTTCTATAACAGTTTACTTATTAAAACCAAAAAACAATGATACATTTCGCAAATCTTCACTGCTAGCTGCATGTTACATTGTTACATGAATGGAGTCGTGGAGTAGTTAGAGAAAATATATGCCAGCAACCTGCAATACACTACAGATTCCATTACTTGTATCTTTCACATACTAATACAGATTTCCATGCTACTGCTCATCAAAGCATTCCAACCAATATTCACAAAATGTTCCTTATTCCTGAAATATTTTATTATTTCAGGAAGAAATTTTAAAACTCTTATTTTGTAGTTAATGGAAGGAAATTTTGAATCAGTTAAATTATTTTTATAGGCTGGATAGCACTGTGAGGCCATATACACATTATAAATCTAAGATAACTAAAATGGAAACTCAAATATTGATCTCAATTAATAAAAAGTAACAATAAACAAACAATTATTTTTTGTGACATAAACACAATGCCAGGCCAGGCTGCAATTTTTATCATAATGCTCTCAATTTTAGCAGTGTCTTGTCCCTGTTCATCATACTTTTCCTGTTAAGAATGGAGTCACGTCGGTCATCTAAATCCATTCAGGGGAAAATCTTTTTGAATAGAAACAATGTGTCTTCCAGTACAGACTAGATGTTCATATATAGTTAATCAGTGCCTTCTGCCCCTAAGCTTTCCATATCAGGTCTTGATTTTCATCTAATTAACTATTCTCGAGATTAAGGACAGAAAGTGGATGTCAGTGGGAATTTATAAGTCTACAATTTTCAAAAATTGTAGCCAAATCAGTCAAACTTGAAACTTCTCTCAGCAGAATTTCATTACTTGATTATATTATTAATGAACGGAATGTTGACATTTGATAATATAGAATCACAGATTTAGTTAAATATTTAAGAAATAAATCTAATTGCTCTTTATATTTTTTCCCCTTTTATTTATTTTTATAGGATTAAGGAAATAGGCCAAGAAAATTAAGATGTCAACCAACCACTCTGAGTGCTCAGAAATTAAATCTGGATGGTTGAAAAATCCCAGGAATTTTTAGTGGTCTATCTCAAAAATATCAAGTTCCATCATACCTGGTTGCCTTCATTGTGGACCTGGCCAAATCCACAATAAATATATTTAAAAGGCCCCTTAGTGACCACAGGGTGGAAAGTCAAAATATTTTGTTATTAAACATTACTTTAAAATACTTAACAAATTTAAATTTACAATTAATTTTAGAATTATTTTTTATAATTAATTTAAGAAAATTTTAATATGTTAAATATATTTAATTAAAAATTTTTTTATGAGAATTAAATGTATTTGATTTATCAATGTAATAAAAAATGGATAATATGAGAAACAAACAATTGAAGTCAAAACAGTTATAAATTTGATTTATAAATTATTATAAAAATAGTACATCAAATACAATTTTAAAATATTCAAGTTAAATTAAGTTAAAAAGTAAATAAATAAATCTTACGTAAAATTTAATTTTGTAAGAAAATACAAAGAAACTGCTATTAATATTGTTAATATCTTATATGCTTGCAAATGCTTTTTATCCAATCATGTAGGTATGTAAATTATTATAATATTTGATTAATAAATTATTATAATTATGAAGTGAACACTGCCAAATTATTTAAAATATTTATCTTTTAAAAACAGAAATACAGATTATCCAGACCAGAAGTGGGAAACGTTTCATAGTCAGAAGTTATATCTAACTTCAGAGACATCTTGTAAGGTCATATGTTGTATTGAAGGTTACATAAGTGTATAAACTCAATGTGCATGCACAAAAATACTTAAGCATTTACCACTTCATATCATTACTAACTTGCACTAGAAGCCAAAAAGGAATGCATGTCATAAAATCTTCAGCTTTCCCATCTGTCCATCTATAATCTAAACCTATTTTTAAAGTCAGTAAATTATGATCTTTAGATAATATACTAAATTACTTCTAATATTACCTTCCTACAAGATATATAGGAATAAATTTGAATGGATTTGCTTATTTTTAACCATGTGGTTTGCAACACACTCTATTGCTTTTACTATGTAATCATATGAATGATGTTGGTGGAAAAAAAGTTGCAAGGGAAAGATACTAATAAAAAGAATCTTGCATCTAACAAAACATGAATCTTCACAGTTTTACATCAGTATTACTAAAAAAATGTACATTTGTTTGACTGCACATATAATCCATTATGAAAAACTAGAGCTTATTATCCAAACCCTCAAAATTGTGTGATATTACTGCAATCTTCCAAGGAGATGATGATAACTGTGGTAATATTATGGTCACTTAAAACTGAAAAATAATAACTAATTATAAAAAGATCAAAAACTATTAATTCAGAATAATCTTTAACTTTTAATTAACAGAATAAATAATTCCTGTAATTCTAAAATATTACAGTAGAAAATGAAGAGAAATATAGATAAAATCAAATTGTGCCAATAAAAATAAAAAATAATATTTTCAAGAAAAAACACTTTTAGATAATACTTAAATCTTAATTTATACAATTACAAAATCATTTATAAATCTTTATCTTATATTTACTTGTAATAAAGATTTACAAAAAATACAGAGAAAAATTGTGCAACTTGATATATCCAAAATAATAATTTCAATACTGTGATACACAATAAAATATAAATACAGTACACAATAAAATAATTACACAATCATCAGATCTTAATACATTAACAATAAAGATGAGAACGATCAAAATATAAAATGATAATTTGCACATTATAGAATAATTTAATAAATATACAGTAGTCTCAATTGTGCAATCTAAATGAGAATGGCAATGGTCCAGAAAATACAGGACTATATATATATATATACTATAAGGTATATATGAAAACAGATTTGTTTGATAAACTAAGAAAAAAATATATAAATATCTTCATTTATTCAGTTTAGAACATGTTAATTGATGTTTACACACAATTCTAAACTATAGATTTTCTTCAAATGTATCTGACAAAAATCAATGAAAATATATGCAGCTAGATAACATGGAGGAGTAAACAATTGGCAATTAGATAATCAGGACTATTATCCTTTATTAAATATTTATTCCCATTGAAAATTATTTAAAAAATGGAATTTTCAAACAGATTCAAATGTGCAAGATTTTCTGAAAAATAATTTATTCTTTATAATATTTTTAATCTCTAATAATGAAGAAATGGATGATTTGTGTTTACTGTAGGAACTTAAGTAAATTCCTACTGTTATTATAATTCCAGACCAAATGTATCTAAAATGGAAAAATTATGTAAATTAATATGGTATGATTTTAAAAAATTTCATTAAAGTGTTACATAAAGAATATTTGAAGATCAATTAAGTTTTAATAATTAAATATTGTTGTCAAGTAATTTTAATTTCAAAGTGATACTTACTGAAATCTAAATGGTTTTGAAAATAATAAAAATGACAGAATAATTGTCACTGCTTTTCGGCAAGTTGTTATGATCACGGCAACAAAAGCACCACAAGTTTTAATAAGATCTAACACCACTTGTATGCCACAGTATCCGACAAGAGAAAATAAAGCTCCATATCCGAATGTTTCAATGGGATACTATAAAAAAATATATATATAAAAATGAAATAATTATACTTGTTATAATTTTAACATAACAAAATGAAATATTTTTTGATTGTTTATCATTTTATCAAGCATTGATATTTTTATATATTCAAAGATATAATAATTTTCAAGATACAAGGAAACACATTCTCTTCTGATTAGCTTATTACTGTTAATTCTAAATCTTATTCTAGTACTGTAAAATGAAAATATTTTCCACGCCTGCACATGCAGTGACAGAAAATGTCCATTAGTTAAATTTGTATGAAAATATAGTCATGATCTCTTATAATAGTAACCACTTTCCTTCCTGTTTAAGATTTTATTAATCAAAGCCGAATTTCAGTAAAAAGATATACAAACTGTCAAATTAATTTAAACTTTCCATATCTCTTATATTTAGATTTTCTTTTTATCACCTGAAACTCGCAAATAATGGAGAATATTTATTTATTTATTTAATAATTAAAACAGGTAATATTTAATAGACTGAAAAAGAACTGCCCCAAACAACAGACTTTTAAAGAAAAGCAAAAAGATATACACCTCATTTGGATAATATATGAATATCATCATCATCATCTGCTAATTTCTTTTTTTTACCTATGTATCAAATTTCATCAAGTTCCATCCATTTGTTCCAGAGGTATTAATATTTTTTGTTTTAGTTAAAAATTCTTCTTTTTGCCTTTACTCAAGAGTTGTTTCACAAAATGTCTGCTTGGGGCACACTTGTCATTATGTATGTCATTTTAATTTAATTTTTTTTTAAACAAAAATTTAAATTTTTAAATAACACAATACTGAACTTATTTAAATTATATTAGTCTGTATTAATTAGGGTTTCTCAAATGCTATTCTGGGATCCCAGTTGTTTTTTTAACCTGGGAAATCCTGCAAATTTCTTAAAAGTTCGCTTTTTTCTTATTTTGTGTTAATGTTGAGGAAATTTTGCAAATAGAAAGTATAATTAACACACAAATTGTCAGAATACATTTGTATTTATTAATTTTAAATCTACTTATTAGTTTTTTAAATTTTTCCTCATTATGGTATATCACAAATGGTCAATAATCAGTATGTAGATTATTTGTGACAGAACTCTGAAAATTCTTTACTTGTCAGAACCTGTAATATCTGGAATAATTGTGCTTATAATATCTTAATTTTTAACCATGCCCGGTAGCTTCGATAACTGTGTAAATTGGGCAAGGATACAAAGTACAAAGTCTGCAAGTATGAACTTATTCATCATAAACCTGATTATTGAAGCCAAACAAATTGCCAAATTATCTGGCTATAAGCTTGATGACGCTATTAAAGCAGCCGAGGTAGACAAATCAAGAATACTAGAGAGCAAAAGTACTACTACAATCTCAAGAACAAATTCGAAATCTTCCAGGCTACAAGTGAAAAAACATAACATCTGTCTTCTCTTAAATGCATTAAAGATAATTCCATTAACATCAATTAAATCGGAAAAGGCATTCTCAGTAGCAGGACTTTTCATTACTAAAATAAGAATCAGATTGACTGATTGGAGTATTGACCATCTTTCCTTTTTAAAATCTTATTATAAAAATTTACAATAATATTTTGTATTATGTTTTATTTAAAAAATGAAAATTACGTTTTAAGTTAGAAGTTTGATCTAAGTTCATTTTTTTTAAATTTTCAACTCAATTCAAAGCATTTTGTTGTTGTTGTTGTATGCAGTTTCCAGAAAACTTTAATAAATTTTTTCTATTTGTGAAAACTTCTATGTAATTCAAAGGTAATTTTTAATATTTATCTTACACAGATTTATTAATGTGATTTTGGAGGTTGCAGAACTTATTAAATTACTTTAAAAAATGAAAAATAATTATGTCATTTGATTTCATGATATTTTGTATATCTTAAAAATAATTAATTCTGTCACGGGATTGCCCAATATCCTGGGAAACAGTTTACTTTTATCCCAGAATCCCGGGACAAGCAAAAGACCGGGAAATGAGAAACCTTAGTATTAATATAATGTTCAAACTCTGAATTAGAAATGTGAAATAATTACGAATGTAATATGTAATCATTAATTAAATAAAGGTTTAATACTTTATTGTGTTTTCTGTACATCCAAGATAAAATGGTAATATTTGAAAATGATAGTTCTAAGCATGCTTGATGGCAGTTTCTGTACCTGTAATGCTTACAGGTATGTTTTAGGAGATTTATATTTATTATACTTATATTAAAAATCATCACAAACATTAAGAAAAATATTAAAATTAAATTTAATTATATCTTTTCATATTTAATTAATAAAAATAACAGCACCTAAAATCCAGGAAATATATTCTTACCTTCATGCACACTTTAGTAGCAGGACCCAATTGTCCAATTGCAATCAGTATCAAAAATATATAAATACATCCTATTGAATATGAATAAAGTACCTAAGTAGAAACAAAAAAATAGATAAACAACAAAGTTTATATAAAGTTTATTCAAATATTCTTTTTCTACAATTTAATTTATAAATATTAACTAATATAATTTATACTTTTGTAACATAGAACCAAAGAGCATAGAAAGTAACTATTAATCTTGGAAAAAATTGTTTTTTCTCTAAAAATAATGAAGGTTAAAAAACTTTAATTTGATGAAAAGAATTGTTCTCTATTCCATTTATTCAATAAAATTTTTTTTTGAGACAACTTACATCTCATTGCCAGATCAGATCTTAAAAATGACACTGACCATTCAAACATAAAATAAAGAACAATATTGTTCTGTAATTAATGTTAAAATGATCTGACTATAATGTAGATCAATTTGAAAAACATTTTATCAAATAATAAATTTTAATACCTTTATTAGCAGCAGTGTCTTACTTGTGATATAGAATGGAGCTGCTGATTAAGAAAGAATCAACAATTTTATTATAAAAATCACAGAAATAATCTTCATGAATCCAGAAAAATATATTTTTACAACAGTTTTTCTGCCAACAAATTGGAATACAGTCTAAACTATTTATTGAAATTAATTTAATATAATATTAGATGTGCACAATGACTACCTCTAGGCCAAATTACTTGATATTTAATTAATAATTAGTTGCATTATTATAGCCTGATGTAATCCATCAATCATTTTGCATTAATTTAATAGTTCTACTTTGCTTACTAAATGGAATATATAGTTACATGCTATTCCATTAGCAAAATTCAATTGATTGGATTAAAATACTACAAAGCCTTTTTAGTTTCAAGTCTTATTCAAATAAAATATTTTCAATCAATGTTATTAAAATTACACACACAACATCTCTAATACTTAAATACTATTTATAAGAAAGAATTATCATTTATGTCTTTGAAATTATTTATTTATATATTTAATAATACAGGGTGTTTGTCAAATGCCCATAGTTTTGTAGATTAATTTTGGAAAAGAAATGTGAGTATAGTGTGAGAATCCAAGCTAGTATCTTTTGTAATTTTGACAATCTCAATTATATAATTTTTGTTCAAAAATTATTCTATTTAAACCCATATCACAAATACCATAAAGGAAGTTTGCGAGATTTTTCTGCCAATAACACTTCCTTCGTAGGTGACACATCTTCCAATAAAAACTATTCATCAAAGGAAATATCATAAAAAAAATTAGGAATTTGACTAACTGCCAGCTCCCTGTACAATCTTACCAAATTTTGGCATCAGAATAGCAGGGGAAAGACACCTGAATAAAAATCAAAGGGAAAAGATTACAAGAGAGAGTTTGCTTAACCATTTTGAAGTGTATTCTTATCTCCGTCATACTCCACTGCGGATCTTCCCCAAACTCATGACAGTTTCCCACTGGATCTTTGCCACTCCAACTAATGAACAATTAACTAAACCCGTTGTGCAAGCCTTCTCCTCTTCAAGATGCCAATAATCATTGAACATTACCAATCCAGATATCGACCCACACACATGGTTATAAACACACTCTCTCTTATAGGTGCACATAAGGATTTAAAAAAACCTATCTCCATCTTTTTTTTTTTGTACTTTTTAACTCAGAAAAATAATTATTTGCTTTTGCTGGTTAAATGCATAGTGGAGTGCATTACTTCTGGGCTTCCCTGCTTCTCTAACACCTTCACCCTTACTCCATAAAAGTCTTACATAAATAACCGCTCATTCAGTTCGAAAGTTCCCATGAGCCAAAAAATCACAGGTGGTGTCAGACCTGACTTGAGGGGCACTACTGTCCTGTTCACAACAGTATTGCAGACAATGGTAATAGAAAGTCAGTTACCACATTAAATCAATATGCTGCTGATGTAAATCTGCCTGTACTTGATTTTAGCCTATGTCTGAGCCATCATGTAGGAATCACGCTGTTAATGGCATCTACAATACTTGTACATGGGCTCTCATATCTGGCAGTTTTGTACCATGTACATGATCAATGACATGCCCATGAAGAAAAAAGTTCAAAGAGATAATGTCAGGTGATCAGGTAGACCAAGAAATAAAACCCCAGCAATCTAGACCATGAAACAGTAGAGGTCCAGATTGCCATTATGCAGAACTTTTCAAGTGTGTGCATATGAAACTTGGAGTATTGACCAATATTCTACTACACATTTCATCCAAATGTCTGAACAAATGGATTTTATACAACAATTCAAAACTAGAGACATTTAAGGGAACACCCTGTATTTATTAAAAAAAATAGTTATAAGTTATAAATAATTCTTACCATTTCATTATTAGAAGTATGATATTGTTTTAAAACTTTTTCCTGTACATTACCAATTATTGCATCAGCAACTAATGCAAGTGAAATTAAAACAACTCCTACATGAAATAAGAATATATATATTATATAAAATAATTTGTGAAATAACTAAAAAATTCTAATAATAATATTAATATACTTCATTTAATTTAAGTGTGTTTAGTATGAACATAAAACTTAGCATTTATCACAATAAATTTTAAAATATGCCATCATTCAATTTGCTGATAAGATAAAAGGAGCAGTTCTTATGATTTCCATAAGTTAAAAATTCATTATAATTAAAACAGGTTAATTTACTAAACACTTCTTCAATTTAATAGTCCTTGATTTTGAAATAGGCCATCTTCACTATATAAATGTTTACATGATCTCATAAATGTATTCAGGGGTAGGCAGAAAAGACATAGAACCCTTCTTAGTCAAGAATTAAGAATGTTTTAGCTATATTTTATTTACTTATTCATCTTTTCTTTCTATAATATACAGTATTTTCCAAAAGAAATGCATCATAAGAAATTGTGCAGAGAAGCTTGTAGACAAAGCATTGGGGGATAGTATATAGTGTATTGATTATATGATGCATCATTTTGGGTCTGAAATAATGCCACATGAAAATTAATTGCACAAAACTGATGTAAAGAAGAGTAAGTTGGATTTAAAAAGCGAAGAAAAAGTACAATTTTTAAATAACAGATTTTACAGGTATTTTGTATGTTTACAACTTATATTTTACTTTCCCAGCTCTGTTACAAGGTCTGTTCAAAAAAAAAGACCAGACTTTTGTCAAAGCATGTGAACCATTGCAACAATCAAATGCCAGCAAATGGTGCCATGTAGCTGGAAACTCCAGTAACACAGCACCACTTGGTGGATTGTAGTATTCGGATCAGTTGGTGATCTAAAGCTGTCAAAGCAAACATGTACCATAACCACTCTGCGAAGTAAAGATTAAAGACTTTTAGGAACAACATGTTTGGGTGAAATTTTGCTTTAAGTCATGCAAAACTTATACTGAAATGTGGGCTCTGCTTCAGTAGACCTATGAAGACAACTGTATTTTGCAGGGAGGTTTGTGTAGTAGGGAGATTAATGTTATTAAAGTTTAAAAGTCAATGGGATGGGCAAATAGAGGGAATCATGTGTTACATCTCCAGTAGGGTCAGACTCAGAGCCGTAACTAAGATTTTGAACGCCTATGACTAAGAATAAAAATTGCGCCTTTTTAATTTTTGTTATTAAAAGATGATAATGTTATTCTAAAAAAAAATATTATCTAATGACATTCAAAATATTTTTCAACTATATATAAGGTAAATAATTTAAAATATATCTTTATAAATAACCTTTTATTATGTATTTTTTTTAAACAAATTATAATAAATTATTTTAATAACTTAAATGTAATGAAATTCAAACAATTTCACAATCAATCAATTTTGGCATTTGAAAGTGTTACTTGATGTAAAAGGTATTGTTATAACGACATTAAGAAACAAATATATACAATAATACACTATTAATCTACTAGTGAATTTACAAACAGGTGTAGCAATGCAACAAAGTGTCTCACGGTCGCCAAAATGGCATTATCTCAAAGAATAATAAATAAATGTAATCTTGATAATGCATTTCTGCAAACGCATTATCAATCAGTGATTTCAAACAACTACAATATTATTCATTTTAATTTCTAAATTGCACATCTATTAATTCCACTAATCATTTACTAAATTTTGACTATCATCGATTTCACTTTGTTACACAGGCAAATGACTCCAACATACATACTGCTGCTTATCAACATTGTTATGGAGTTAATAATACCACTTTTAAATGTCAAAATTAAATAAATATTTAACCCTTTATTGGTATGTTACTGGTAACAAAACAAAAATAATAATTACTTAGTAATAAACATAAAAAATAAAAGTTTATAATTAACATAACAGATTGATGAACGTTCTCAATATTAACTAATATCTTTTGAATAACAATCACAAAATAAACTTCAACTAGTTGGGATATAATATTGTCAACAACTTCATAAAACAAATGTTTTAATTCATCCTGACTTGAAAGTATAGTTCCTTCTTCTGTTTCTCCAGGTAACAGTTTTCTTTTTTTGCATTTTTGCTTCATCTTGGGTATTGAATCAATTCCCAACTCTTCAAACATTTTTGCTTGCATTCTAACATGATAATATCATACTGATTATTTCTAAAATGTTGAGAAAAGATACTAGTCCATTTAATAATTCAGAAGAGCGAAAAATGTCTTGTGATTTATCCTGTAAATAGTTATTTACAACATTTATTTTGGTAAAATATTTTCCCACATAATTAACGTAAAAATAAAATTCTATGATTTAATATGTCCAATAATAATTCTAGATCAGTGGTTCGCAATTAGTGGTACGCGTACCCCCAAGGGTATGTGAAATTGCATGAAGGGGTACGCGCGGCAATCTAAAATCGGTCGATTTAAATGCACGACATGAAGCAATCAAAAAATAATGAATGGACTGTCAAAAATTCGGCAATTTACAACACGATGTTGAATGCACAAATTCGTTTATTTATAACTAAAAATATTGTCGAAATTTCATTTAAAAAAATGCATTTGTGACAGTACCTAAATAAAATTCTTACGCAAGAAACAAAACTTGTACAATTAACACAAATTGTGTTAATTAATTGTAGAATTATTATTATGTCAGCAAAACAGCAATAAAATATTTACTACCATTTTGCACAAAATACCTCTGCGAGAGCGGATTTTTGGTTGTGACAAACACGAAATTAAACAAAGTCAGTTTAAATTAAACAAAGTTATGATTTTGTTTAAAATTAAACAAAATCATAACAGATGGCACCTGACATGCAGTTTTAATTGTTGCTGGAAAAGTTAGGCAACTCATTGATGGATTTTTTTTATATATATGTTAATGTTAAATGTTGGTAAAATAATTCAATACTATAGGTGAATGGCAGAATAAGTGTCAACGTACCTGTTGTTAAGTTCTTAAGAAAAATCACAAACTGGCCGATAAGGGACATTATAAAGGCTAAAATGCATACCTGGATTTGAAGTAGTTAATATAGATTTTTGCGGTGTGTAATTAGTCTGTATTTAATGGTTACAATACAGACTAACTGAGGCCTACACATCACATAACCACTGACCATGGGTACCCCAAACTCACCTGTAAATTGATCGCCAGGTTCACAGTTCCCAATCTGCAGTCCAAGTCCACTCCCATGATGAAGACTGACCGGAAGATGAAGAAAGGAACCCAGTAATATACAACCGATATCTCAAATCACTATATACAGTACTGACATAGCCAAGAAGTGCCACATACAGGAGATGTCCTATCATATTTGACATCCTTCGTAACGGAAAGGACATTCCCAACTGGGAAGACTCCCCAGAGTGTACAGCATCCCACTTAAAAATCACAGATGTGATAAAGACTTCATCTACATCAGCTTCACTAAGCACTCGCTGGAAGTTAGAATGAATGAGCACCTTGCTGACATAGAGCACATGAGGACCACCACTGCTCTCGCTCTTTATGCCAGAGATCCAGACATAGAGCCTGATTTTAACCAGGCAATAGTCATCCTCACCTCACCGTGCACAGAACATCTAAGGTGGTTGGAGGCCATTTGTATTTACAGATCTAGCCTCACCGACACACGTAACAACAACAAAGAAGAATTGACTTTGTCCATAGCCTGGCATGCACTAATGAACATTGACTTGTAAATCTCCAGAATTGCTACCAGCAGGAGTGCGTATGCCCAATAGGACGACATCAAGAAACGCATATTCGAATTTCAAATCATGTTCTTATTAACTTAGAAAATTCCATTCCATTGGAAATTCAAAGTTCACCTGAAGAAGTACAGTTTATGGTTCGAAAACGTTTGTGAGGAGGTGTTTTTTCATTCTTTTTGTTTTATTTGAGTTGCACACTGATAACAGGCTTTAGAGATGTACTTTAATTCACCCTGGTGTTGTTCAGTGTGAGTATACAATAACTGATTTAACAACTGTTCTTTTTAATACTTGATATGGAGCTAATAGCAAAAACACATTACCATTATTTTTATTTATAAAACTGCATATCAAATATTAAAAAGAATAAGTTTAATTCTCACAACATAAATGTTTATTATAGAACTATGCAGACGGGTTTACATTAGGTGAAAGTGAATTGCCCACATACATAATTTCAAAATATTGTCTCCTAAGAGTAACACAGAAATTGAGTTACTGTTTTTATACACTAATACTTTTATTGACTATTGAACACAAGACTATGTTATTAATTAAACACTTGGCATTTTTCCTTTTTATTCAGTTGACTGAATAAAGAGGAAAAATGCCAATTGTTTAATTAATAACACAGTCTTGTATTCAATAGTCAATAAATATGAAAACATGGTTTCAGAAAACAAATCAACTAATACTTTTAGGTAAATATATGATTAAACTAGCTGTTACCGCAACTTCACCCACGGGAGTTTTATATTCAGTATTTCAACAACCATAGTAATTGTTATATAACACCTACCAATGAGAATGATGAGAATTGCTGAGAATCAAACAAACTATTTTCAATTTTATCAATTTTCTGGAACGTTTACAATCGTTCTACAATCGAACCAATATGCAATAACAAATTTGAATTTAAAACGGTTCAAACATTTGGTTAAAAAATCGAAATATATGAAAATATTTATAACAATGTCTGAAATGTTATCAATTTAATACACCTAAGTACTCAATGAAGACTAAACGTAGTTGAAAATAAAAAATCACATCTAAAATAGTACAGTAGAAGCCGTTCTTCCGGTTAAGCCTTAATCCTCTCCCTCTCCTTCCCGTTGGGGAATTTCGAAAAATCCCTTCTTAGTGTGTGTTTTCATGACATACCCTAACTGTACCAAATTTCACCACTTTAGGTTCAGCGGTTTGCTCTGGACAATGATGAATCAGTCAATCACTCAGTAACTCAGTCAGGACAAGTAATTTTATATATTTAGATGAGTGGCAAGAGTGTCCATTTGATGTGACATTGATAAATTTACAAGTGTTATTTGATAAAAATTGTTCTGTAACTATTGTATTTAAACTGGTTAAATTATTAAAACTAACTTTTTGTAAATTAACCATTCTACAGGTTTTGTAAAACCCAAAATAATAATTAATTAATTACAATTACTATAACTACTAGCTATTTTAAAATGATATAGTTTTTAATAAAAGTATCTCAAAAATATTTTGGTTTCAGTAAAACACTGGATTCTTCCTCATGTTTGAAACTTGATTATCTAACTATAAACTGTAGAGTATAATAATTATAATCTATAAAATGATACAATTCTATCGTTATTTAGATTTTCTATGATATATGATAGAGAAAATATGAATATAGAACATAAATCCTCTCCAAAATTCATTTTTTAGAAACAGAATGAATTTTGGAAATGTAATATTCTATTAAAATTAATATAAATAGAGTTTACAAAATGAGTAAATTGAACGTAATGCATAAAGCATGTATATTTCATATAGTGTGAAAAAATTATAAAGCTGCCATTAAAAATGTTAAAATGATATAAATGTGTAAAAGTTGTGGTCATAAAGCTGCCACAAAAACAAATACTTGCACCTGCAACATTGAAAATTATTGTTCATGGCAAGGAATGTTGGACAGGTGGGCAGAAAAGGACAATCTTTTTCTGTAGTAGTCAGCATCAGTTCAGTTGTTTTTTTCAAGGTTTTATGGCCTTTGTACAAAAAATAAATAACATTTTATCATTTGAAACCTCCTGAAAAGAGGGGAAGAGAGAGACCAAGATGATACTTCAATTGTTTTCTTGAGATCATGAAAGCGCTTTGAATTGATCAGAATTCTACAAAGGACATGAAAAAGTGGAAAAAATGATCTGCAGCAGCAACCTCACAAGTGGGACTAAAAAGCTGAAGAATAAGACAATTGTAAAATGGCACATTTTTCATTGCATAAAGATTCACTTTAATTAAAAAAAATTACTTTAAAATACTTTTCCATTGACTTTTATACTTGTGATTAATTTAAACAAGAAATTATCTAAATTTTAATTACTCTCAAGAATTTTAAATATTCCATTGCAATTTTTGAATGCAAAAAAAGAATTAGAATTATAATATAAAATAAATTTAAGGGAGATGAAATTATTCTATAATATTATAAAATTATATTAATTATTATTGATTATGATTAATGATAATGTTTATTAAAATTATTTAAATAGTAAAAGATATAGTAACAAGCTTTTAATTACCTGTTAAATTAAAAGATGGATACACTTGAATGTCTGTTAATGTAAAGAGTGTTATTCCTATGCTCATAAGGAATGCAGCTATAAAATCTAAGAAACCATATATTTTTCCTGAAAAAGCATTAGTCATTTAGTTAAATGAGATTATAGTTTAGTATGCTTAAATTTGAAAGAATAATTTTTAGCAATGAATTAAAGAATAAGCTACAGTCATGCAAAGCTATGTTATGATTCTCTTAAAAATTATTTTAGTTGATTCTCTAATTGTAATAAAGCATTAAACACTAATTGTGAGATAGTAAAGACTTTTTTAACCAAATTATTATATTTAGTAAATTATTATTTTTTAAATACAGGGTGTCCATAAAGTCTCATGTGAATGGCCTGAGAAATGTTGACACTTAAGGAAAGAACAGCTGTTATTGGGGAATGTTTACAAGGATTATTGTATGAAACCATTAGAGCTGAGTTTATGTGTAAATTTCAATATTCTGGTCCTACAAGAACAACTATTTGGCTTCTTGTCAACAAAGTGTAGCAGATGAATAACATTTCTGTAGGCCATTAATATCTGTTAATATCATTGCGAGTGTTCACAAGCAACTGAATGTAGCCTTATTCACCATCTTAGTAGGGAGATCAGTGAAACACATAGCACTACCTGGAAAGTGTTACATTGTATTTTACCTTACATAAACACATCATATCCAAGTGTTGTACAAAGAATGAAGATTATGCAGAATGGCAAGCTATGTGCTGTTATCTTCTTGCTGCTGTCAAAGATGAAAATTTAATGAAAATTTTATTCAGTGATGATGCTACATATCTCTGGCCATGTTAACAGGTATAATTGTCAAAAATAAGCAGTTAAATGAAACTTTTGAATGGGAAAGAAATATGCTAAAAACAAACATTTGGTTGGGCTTCATGAAGGCTTGTGCATAAGGGTTTGTTTTGTTTTTCTGCAGAAACCTTGGTTTCTGGCAACATAGCACATCTTGACATGTTATAACATTTTTTTAAGCTGTAGATCATAGACAACAGCATTTTTGTTATTATTGTGTTCCAGCAGGATGGGTTATATTACCTGTGTGGGTTTTGCAACCTGTGTTAGAAATTATTTGAATGAAGCCTTTCTTGGAAGGCAAATTAGAAGGGAATCACAAAGACCATAATGGACAACAAGATTGCCCAATCTGACCCCTTAGATTTCTTCTCTTGAGGATTTACCAAGTCCAAAGTTTATTGTATGAATGTTAATGATGTCTAAAGCCTTAAACATCATGTCTGAACAGTAATTGACAGCATTACAGCAACTATGATGCAAAACATCTTTCAAGCTACATCAGAACATTGGAAACCATGCTTCAAAATGCAAGGTGGTCATGTCAAATTGTGCTAATTTACATTTTAAACATTCTTTTCATTCATAAAATATATCTTTGTTTCAAAACTTAATTTTTTTTCACCAAAATGTATCGAGACTTTATCGACATCTTATATTTATTTAAAATTTTTTGTTGCATTTAATAATTAGACAATTACTCAAAATGAAATTTAGAATAAAATACTTTAGCAAAATGATTAAAGTGGAATGAATACAGTTTTTCAAAATTCTGTAGGGTCTTTCTTAAATTCATTATAAGTATACTGTCCATATAGAAAAATGGAAGATTGGTTTCAGGCCTTAAAAACCAGTAAAATTAATTAATTTAGAAGCAAAGATCAGATGAGATAGAAGTAGCATAACTGGTAACACATCTGCACAATAAGAAATTATCCTCCTATTCCCATTCTGGGTCAATCTTTTCTTCTGGACTATTCTAAATTATTAAATTTAATGTGTCCTTATTTGAAGTTGTGAGGAATACAATATGTTTTCCCATTTTCCTCCAATCATGAAGACTTGCAGTTTTTTTGGAACACCGTTTTATTTCATCTACTGTTCACATTACATGTTTTGGCCTTCTTTGTGGCCCTCTTCAGACTATAATACATAAAACATGTACATACATTAATTATAAAGCATGTATATAATAAAAAGGATACGAAGTCTTGAGAATAAATGGAATAAGAGGTTAAAATTTAAAAATAAAATATACAAATGTACTGTAAATAATAGTATTGAAAATATATACTTAAGACAATCTGGTGTTGTTCATGAATTTAACTGTTCAAAATTTTTTACCTTTAAAAATATCTTTAAGACACAAAATTTGGAGCTTTAAAGATATGATTAAAACAATTCCTGTCATCAATTTGATTAAAAATTGTAAATTCTGCTTTATATTTAGATACAAGACCTCATTATTGTACTGTTGATTAAAAATCAATAAAATTATTATAAAAAAAAAAACTATATTTAAACAAAAATATCCTGTACATAAATTATATTAATAACAAAATGAATATTAATTGCATAAGTGTTAATAGTTTATGAATAAATACATTAAACTTTTAAACAAAAAAATCTGTATAAATGTAAAATCACCTTAAGCTGTTGTAATGCACCAAAACTTTTTACACAAAAAGGACTGTTTAACAGTGATCAGTGATAAAAAATATGAGTTGATTTTAAAATTTTTCTTCTTTTAGAGTTTTTAGTATAATGTAATTTTATAGAAATTATGTATGCAAGCTGCAATAAGTTTTCCATAAAATTTATTATGTATATTTTTGCATGTATTAATTAATTACAAAAACACAGTTGCTTAGGACCTCCAGGGGTAGATCTAGAAGTGTGTGGAGGGTGTGTACACACTCCCTAAAATTCTAAGTAGAAAAGAGTTTTCCATAGTACAACTATAAAGCTAGATTTACAATTATGTTACACAAGAATGCAAGTACCAGTTTCAATCTCATTGCGCATTGCAAACTGACTCCTACAGGTAACATCCTAAAGTTGCAGATCTTCTATTGGAATAATTGTAACCTATTCTTATGAGTTAGCTTGTTAGTGGAACTTGTCTTATCACCAAATAATGTGTGAACATGGACTAACTGATAGCCTGGCAATATCATCACTGATGACACAAACTGCCAATCAACCATTGGCCCTACGATGTACAACTTGCACACAGTTTAACTGCTGTGATTTAGCTAGAGCCTGACCCGATTTCAAATGGCAACAACTTATCGCTATGGTGTCTAAACAAAAGTATCAACAAAATACGAAAAAAGTTGCTACTTTGTATGCAATTGAGAAGAACATTTCACTTTTCTGTGACAATATTTTTCTGATAAAGTAATTGCATGTATTTGCAAATACAGCAACTTTGATATGAAAATGAAATAACTACAGTGCTGCCATAACTTACATTGTAAAAGTAGCATAAATATTGATAATTTTATTTTGTACATTTGAACTAAAATTCCAAATAATTAAAAAATTTATTAAATAAACAAGCTTAAAATTATTTGTGTAAGATTGTCTATTTTCTTGTCTTGATATTAAAAATAATTGATTTTAGATATCAATATTCACACAGAAGTGACCCCAGCTAATGAACAAATTTATTATACTTTCAGCATATTTAATTAACCTTTCCAAAATGCGTTTTGACTTTACTGGACCTTTTCAATTGGATAACATACAAAAATCAGTCTATGAAGACTATTGCCAACATTACAATATAGCTTAGAAATACAATAATTATAAATTATATCTAGGTCTGTAACAATGCAATACAATACAAGCCTAGTAAAAATCTTGGGAATAATCCTTTTGTCTTCCTATTACAATATAATGTAAAAGTACAATAATTTGTAATTATTGTACTTCTAAGGCATATTGTAATGTTAGCAACAGTCACTATATGCTCTGTTTTTTGTATGTTATCAAATTGAAAAGGGCCAATAATGCCAAAATGCTTTTGGAAAGGTTAATTAAATAAGCTGGGAGTATAATAAGCCTGTTCATTAATCCTAAGTAACTATATTTTTGTAATTTATTATGTGTGTTTATTAAGGCTTTATAATTTATGTAAATTTAGGTGCACAATTTATCTATTATGGTCTAAAAAAGAGCCACACAAATGGCCAAAACATGTAATGCAAATACAAGATAAATGGATGAAATAAAACTGTATTCCAAAAAACATTATGAGTCTGAGATTCATGGAAAACAGGAAATAATGTTGTTATATCCATGCAAATTCAAATAAGGATATTACAGATTACTATCATCTATACGAAATATTAAAATTAGCATAATTATTAATAATAAGTTCAGTATAAGATGGCAACCTAACTGCCTACCTTTAGACTAAATTACTTTATATATCAATAATTAATAACTAGCTCAAAATAATCCAGTATTTAAAGACTATTATTTAAAATTATATACTATATCATTAGTTATTTAAAAAAAGTAATAACAAACCTTGAATAATGATACCACCAATTAATACTGGGATTAACTTGCAACATTTGAAAACAACTTGAGTAGGATAATTCAGATATCCAACCGAAGTATTAGACAAACCAATAGAACCAACCGTTAGCAATGCTAACAATGCATATGTCTTTATTGGGACCATACTGTATAAAATAATAATTAATGAAAGTCAAGTCTAAGTATAAAATAAAATAAAAATCATAAATTCAATTTATGGCTTACATTTACAAAATAATTATCTAGTAGTTATTAAAAATTAATTAATTATTAATAATTCTAGAAAATAATTTTTATAAAGTTAATTAAACTATTTTTCAAATAGAAGAAATAAATATTATCTTTAGAAAAATTATAACATTTGGTAATTATCTATAAAACAAATAATCTAATTTTAGAATGTTTTTTAAAATTATTTTCTTTTTGACATCAACAATTTTAAAAAATGTTCTAATATTAGAATCTCTAATGTTCTGTAATGATTGATGCTTCACGTAGGCCCCTAAAAAGGACCGAAAACTTTCTGTTCATATTTAATTCAAATACAAATTATTTGCTTGAAGTTTGTGTGTATGGTATATAGTTTTAATGTGAACAAATTAAAACTATTCCAGCTGTTGGAGACTTTTATGCTACAGCATATAAGTCTATAAAATTGAAATGATGGGATGTATTTTGAAATTTAATTTAATTTTATAGATTTGTATTGTAAAGTTTCTACATCATTTGAATGTATAATATAATTTAAATTTTTAAGCATTGATTCAATACTGTTTTATTCTATATTTTATTGAAAGTCAATTCAATTTCAATTTCATATGAAATTTGGCTAAAGCTGAGTTGAGAAGAATCAGAAAGTTTCCAAAATAAAGTAATTTAAAACATTTTGGTCTCTAAATTAGCAAATTAAAAGAATGTACAGTAATGCGTAAGATATGCAAATCGTAGACCTTTATGTAACCCAAATTTGTAAATTGCTTAAATGTAATTACATAATTTAAGAGCTTATTTCCAAAGTGATGTATCTCCATTTTTTATTTTTTTTTTTTTTAGTTTATGGCACCAACACATTGATATTATCTATAGTTCTACAATATTTTTTCCAAAACGGATGTTTCTTCTGTTGAAAAATGTATCAAAAAATTGGTTTTCTTTTCAAATGTGACGTTTTTCGTTTTGTATTTATTTCCAAACTGTTGCATTTCCATAACAGCCAATTACAAAGTGTATATTGATCATGTGACAATTTTACAGTAATGACTGCTTTCTGAAGTGCAAGTGCTATTGTGTTTGATTGTTTTCTTAATTTTTCTTTAATAATGGTCACATTTTCTGAAGAAGTTCAAAAAGTATTTAGTCGATATGCTAGAAAGAGGTCACATCCTTATTTTGTAAAAATTTTCGCAAGGAAAATCCAAACATCAAAAAAATTCATTTGTTTTGTGATGGATGCAGTGCACAAAACAAAAATTACACAATTTTAGTAATAATAAGTAAACTTTCAAATATATATAGTGTAATTTTTAAGATTACATAGATAACCATACCCATACCCATAGATAGGGCCTTTGGAAACATGAAAAAAATGTTAAGAAAACTGAACTGTTTCTTTTACCAGAAGACTTTTGTTTTTATATATTAAAAGTTTTTGACCATCTATTTGTTTTTACTACATTATCCATTTAAATACTTTGGAACAAAATTGCAGCAAGTCCATAAATACCATTTCTTTTGCATTAGGATTTTTGTCACTATTAAACCTATATTCAGAATATAAAAATAAAACTCTGTACCAATAATTAAGTTTTACCTTAACATTTAAAGCAATTATTTAAAATTTGCAGTTTTTGGAAATTTATATTTCCTGCAGTTACATAGCTTTGGAAATAAGCTCTTCAATTAATAACTCAATACTGTATCTATTATTATATATGTACTGTACATATATTAATTATTTTTTACCAACAAATTCAGTTTGTCATTTCGATTCCATTTTAATCATACAGTACTGTACATAAATAATGAACACTATGTAAATGTAGCGGTAGTAAACAGGTTATGTATTAAACAAATCACTCGAGGCAAACTACTCTAATGACATGAAACAATAAATATAGAAAAGCAAGCAATGAAGATGTACTTGGTTTCACTGCTCAACTTTCACTGTGTACTTCAGAAGAATCTTGTTTATGAGAAAGAGTGCCCAGTACGCTTATGCACGTCCTTACAATTAGACCAAAAAATAAAGTATTCGCAGAGCAATAAAGTAATAAATCGGTACAGTGCAAAAGAAAGAAAGGAAAAGAGAGAGAGAGAGAGAGAAAATGAATGAATAAATGTTTAAAACAGAATGTATGAATTAGAGATTCTTTGTAAAATTACATGTTACTGTACTCAGATTTTTTTTTTTTTTCAATTTTTGAGATTTACATTTTACATAACTGCAAATTTACATAAGTCGCGTGTTAAATACTCAGGGTATTACTGTATAACTAACACTGGAAACATATAATATTTTCAAGCCACTAAACCTCTTCAGCTTCCAGCAAAACATGTAAAATGTAGCAACAAACAAATGTTTTTGGAATCTACCTGATTCCAGTTTCAGATTTACAGAGTTCATTTTGAATTGCTTTTGTTGTATTCCAATTTGCAGTGGCACACACAAGATTTACTCTTTAGGAGAGCCAAGTTGATCAGATAAAAAAACTTTTTAATTCAAACTCAATAAACTTCCCAAATTATGTGACTGTTATTTCATAAGTAATATAAAAATACAATACATGACGCAATATAGATAAAAACATAAATTTTACTTAGGAAAATATTTTTTGGAAAATTTACCAGTGTTTCCTTTAATTTCAAAGATGCGAAGACCCCTTGGCCAATCCCAGGGGTGCATCACTGAGAATTTGAAATGAATCAGGTGGATTCCGAAAACATTTGTGAATTTGTGAATGCATTTTACGTGCTTTGCCAAAGGATGAAAAAGTTTAGTGGTCTGAAGAAATAGTATGTACAGTTTTTCATTATTTTTAGAATATTAAATTAAGTTAAAAAACAAAAAATTTTAGATTATGTATAACGTACTACTCTTATGATGAGATGATCATCTCATCGTAAGAGTACTCATCTTTAATCAAGTACCACATCTTAACAAGATTAGAATTATAGCAAAATTTATAAAATGTATTAAGAATACTAAGCCAAATGATCACCATAATTAATCAGATTATTATTATGCTATAATTAATAATTAGATACAAAGTAATCGTTTGGCTTACTATCAATACATCGGTCCTTGGGATGTTGATATATATGTATTAAAAATAATTAATTTACTGTAATTAGATAAACAATACAGGTTAATTATATAGTTTGTTACCATTATGCATTTTCATTCTAATTTGCTTTTTAAAAGACATATATTTGATAGACATTTCCAAAAAACAGAATTATTTAGTGTTGACCCATATAGAAAATATGGGTCAACACAAAATACATATGTGCTCGAGAAATATGTCACAGATGTTACGTGGCTGATGTTTCTAGGTAGTCATGTAATCAAGTGACATCGAAGCCAGGTCACATAACATATTTTGTACGTCCCCCATACACTGAGCTGCTTCACAACGAAAATGAACTTAAGCAATGGCAGCCCAAACAGTACAGAGTCGGCAAGTAGTCCTATCGGTTTTTGTTTATAGCATTTTTCATGTGAGTTGCATAAATATTCTATGTGCTTTGGAAATGCCTATCAAGTATGCATGTTTTAAATAACAAACTAGAAAAAAATGCATAATGGTAAGAAACTATATAATTACCAAATGCAGAAAGCCAAATTAACAGAATTAAATAATTGACTCAAAAAATATTTTTTGAAAAAAATTACAGCTTACCTTCTATGACAACTTTTATTTACACGCCATTCTAGAAAAGATATAAAAGCATATAATAAAAATTGCATGAAAGTTAGATACAATCCGAAAGGTTTAAATTCTTCTAACTGAAAAATCAATTCCTGAAACACAGAAAGCATTTATGTAGATGGCACTATTCAAAGTAATATATTTAATAACTCCACTCACCTGCAAATAACCATAGATAATAAAAAATACAAAAACAAGGAAGGAACAAATAAGAATTTTTAGTGAATTTGATAAATGATCTATCTTGAAACAGAACAGAACTGTAATTGAATAAGCATCTTTAGCATCTACAGGATGTATTTTGATGATTTTTTCTTCGTTACAATTCCTGTCTGCTTTTAATGCACTCATTTTGACTGTTTAAATTTCAATATCTTGTCCACGATTACAACGTGTTACTGGAAATCGTGTATAGAACTGGTGTGGTAGTACTAACATTGTAATAAATATTAACTGATCAGCTGTCGTTGTTACGGTCGGTTGATTGGTTGGATGATTTACAAAACAGTAAAGTATACCACGTGAGTCCACCATGCGTGAAATATAGAACACCACCTGGAGACGGAAATAGGAGGGAGCTTTATCAAAACTTCCTTTTGTTTTTTTGAGAATTTAATTCGTCTTATTAATTAAGTAATAATTTTTTAAATTACGAAATTAATATTTATATTTATTAAGTTTTCATTATTTTTACCATTTCATTTTTAGCAAAAAGTTCGATTTATACTCAACACACTGAAGTGTTTTTATTGAATTAGTAATTTAACTTAAATTAAATAAAAGTTGACATTATTCATTCTTATGATATTATAATATATTTAAATATACAATACAAGTAGTTTTAGACTTTATCGTAAATAACTTAGAAAAAAAAGCGTAGCTTCTGTATATGTCAGCCGGATGCCGTCAGGTTAGAGTGGCGGCTAACCGCTCTGGAGGATCCGAAATGGAATAGGGACGGGTCGAAAATATTTAGGAATTTTTCTGGTAGTAGTCCGTCCGGATGTATCGGGTCACGTTCCTCATCACCCGTCTACTTCATCGTGGGTTTGGCGTTTGTACTGTATACATCTGGGTTTGAAAAAAAGGCTTTCTTAGTGCCTTTAGGCGGGAAGTATTAAAAAAAGCCTATATGAATGATGATCGTAGTGGTGAACTCGTTAATCCACTGTTCTGATGAAAGCGGGTTCGAGTTCATCGGAATTTTTACAAGCATTTCTGGATATGATAGATTTCCTTTCTCATCACTCCAGTGCTCCACTTTGGTCTGGACTGACCCGTAATGATCATAAGAAAGGTGACGACCGGATGGTTGAACCAATAAAGGCATTAATCTGTCGTTCTAGGAGATCCATGTTTGAGTTTGAATCGAAAATCTCAGAAATTTTTTGTAATCTGTCCGAGTTATGCTGAGCCTTAGTCTTCACCATCCGACTGCCCTCTATTATAGATTTGGCCGAATCATGACGGGTATTAAAAAGTTCAAAAACAGCACAAGAGAGGTTCTCTTAGTGTCCGCAACAAGTTAAAAAACACTAAATATATGAACATAACTTTTAATCTAAATTTTTACTTTTATCAAGAAAACAATACTTTTTTGTTTGTTTTTTATTCTTTTCGGCCTAATGTCTCTTTCTAAAATGCCCATTATAATTAGGCCCAGAAAGTGACGACCGGATGACAAGGGACAGACTACATCATATTCCGACGGTTCACTTCAAAAAATTATTCAGGGTATTTCGACTCGTCCCCATTCCATCCCAGAGAGGTAGGTTATTGTTTCAACCGCTAGGCCTACAAAGAAAATATTAATATTTGTTTTTTTGTCATTAAAATATTTTAAATATAACATAAAAATTAAATAACGTACTTCAAACATCTGTAGACATATGTATAACAGGTGCGAACTACATAACGAATACTAGCGATAAACAGGTCTTCGTATAATACATAACTCCTATCAGAGACATATCACGAAACAGAAGGTAATTCAGGCAATGTAGATAAATTTTTAACTCCCAATTTTGCAGAGAAATTCGACAAACACATATTAAAATTTTCCATTTATATTGAAATAAACTTCTGCTATTAAAAGCCAGCGGTTTATAGCACAGCAAGAGTCTTTGCCTAATCTATATATATAATCGAAACGGGTTGATAATAATAATAATAGTAATAATTAGCAAGTACACAGAACTCGCCCAGGAAATAAGGCATCTGTGGAGGATGGATAGGGTGCTTATTGTACCTGTTGTTCTCTTCTGTACAGGTGTGATACCACATACACTACACAAAAGCCTGGGAACATTACAATTGAATAGAAATACATATATAACACTGCAGAAGGCCACTATATTGAATACATGCAATATTGTTAGGAAATTCCTGAATACAGACACTGACACACTTATTTCATTTTAGTTTTTGGTTGCTATGCCTTGACTCTGGTCCGGCATAGTACACAGCCACCGGTGTGTATCGAGTATAATCCACTAAACCCAACACAATAATAATAATCAGCGCAGAGCCCTAACGGTTAGGAGTTGAAAGTTGAAATTTTGTTACACAGTTAGGGTACGTCACGAGAACGCACACTAAGAACGGATTTTTCGAAATTCCTCCCCACGGGGAGAGGGACAGGATTAAGGCTTCGACAATGGAAGAGTGAAGTAATAATGGAATTGTTAAGAGAAAGCGACGTGCAAGATGCAGATGCAGTTTTTTTTCGTTTTTGAGTGAAATCGAACATACTTTTAGATTCATCTAAAAATTCTCTAATAAGTGCGAAAACAGGGAAACCCAATTCTTGCAGTCTGTGAAAACGGGTAAGGTTGACAATAACGTAATAATCTTAATCTTCGCTATCGTTACTTTTGCCCGAGCAACGCCGGACTTATCTGCTAGTTATAGTTATAATTGCTTTACAGTCCTTACTTCTAAAATTATTTTAAATTGTCTACTTAGACATTACTCATTAATAGGGCTTTATACTGGTGTTTAAAAAATTGACACAATAATGAAACAAAATTTTCTTTATTATATCACCTGTAGTAGTAATTTTTTCTGTACACTTACACGTGTTTTGGGCTAACATGCCCTCATCAGCAATATTACTACAAACCACTAAAAAACAATAATGAAATAATAAGTTATTGTATATATAATAAATTCCCGACAATAAAGTACTTTTTTTTAAAAAAACTTACAGTAAAAACGTATACTAATAAGTACTGTGTACAATTAAATTATACTTCCAAAATTATTAATTACAAATTTACATAACTTCATTTTTCTGTTTAAACAAAATAAAATGAACCATTAATTTAAAAAATTAAAAAAAAAATTACAATATCAACCAATAATTTTTAACTTACATCGAGGTTCTATTCACCACTAGCTAACAGCATCAAGATAAGTATCTTGTAAGCGGTTTATATGGAGCTTATAGTGGCTATTCGCCTTACACTCCGAGAGACTTGTGGTTGATCGCTAGGCGACCGAAGAGCCGGCCTTATATAACCGGCTAAACATGCGCGTGGAAAAGAATGCCTTCCGGGAGGACTTTTATGGGAAACTGGCCCCTATTCAGGCGTCATCGACATGAAGAAAACCCAAAAAACTCCAAGCTGCCAGCCCGTCCGATCGAAATACGACCGAACTCCCAGTATTCAGGGTCTACTCCACTCCTCAAGTACGGGGACGAAGTCCGCTCGGCCACTGATAAGCCAATGAAGATTTTTGAAGATGAACCCTCGACCGAACGCCCAGTGTTTAGGGTCTAGTCTGTCGCAAAGAGCGGAGACGGAATCCACGCGGCCAAACAACAAGATAAGGCTATTTATACTCTTTGCCTTTTGTAAACATCATCCAATATGGTGTCCCAGGATTGGTGGATTATTCTTTCTAAATTATTATTTATTCTGTTTCTTTATGTTTATATGTTCATATAATTGGCTTTTGTAATTGTTAGATTTTTTCTTTTTAATTTTTATTGTATTTATACTTATTTTGCACCCATAATTATTACAGTGTTCTGAAACAGCAGAATTTGTATACAGTCGACCCCCCTATAACTACGGTCCCTATAATTACGATTCCTATAAAACTACGAAAAAATTGTGACCGGTATCCGANAATCTTTTCTTCTGGACTATTCTAAATTATTAAATTTAATGTGTCCTTATTTGAAGTTGTGAGGAATACAATATGTTTTCCCATTTTCCTCCAATCATGAAGACTTGCAGTTTTTTTGGAACACCGTTTTATTTCATCTACTGTTCACATTTCATCTACTGTTCACATTACATGTTTTGGCCTTCTTTGTGGCCCTCTTCAGACTATAATACATAAAACATGTACATACATTAATTATAAAGCATGTATATAATAAAAAGGATACGAAGTCTTGAGAATAAATGGAATAAGAGGTTAAAATTTAAAAATAAAATATACAAATGTACTGTAAATAATAGTATTGAAAATATATACTTAAGACAATCTGGTGTTGTTCATGAATTTAACTGTTCAAAATTTTTTACCTTTAAAAATATCTTTAAGACACAAAATTTGGAGCTTTAAAGATATGATTAAAACAATTCCTGTCATCAATTTGATTAAAAATTGTAAATTCTGCTTTATATTTAGATACAAGACCTCATTATTGTACTGTTGATTAAAAATCAATAAAATTATTATAAAAAAAAAAACTATATTTAAACAAAAATATCCTGTACATAAATTATATTAATAACAAAATGAATATTAATTGCATAAGTGTTAATAGTTTATGAATAAATACATTAAACTTTTAAACAAAAAAATCTGTATAAATGTAAAATCACCTTAAGCTGTTGTAATGCACCAAAACTTTTTACACAAAAAGGACTGTTTAACAGTGGTCAGTGATAAAAAATATGAGTTGATTTTAAAATTTTTCTTCTTTTAGAGTTTTTAGTATAATGTAATTTTATAGAAATTATGTATGCAAGCTGCAATAAGTTTTCCATAAAATTTATTATGTATATTTTTGCATGTATTAATTAATTACAAAAACACAGTTGCTTAGGACCTCCAGGGGTAGATCTAGAAGTGTGTGGAGGGTGTGTACACACTCCCTAAAATTCTAAGTAGAAAAGAGTTTTCCATAGTACAACTATAAAGCTAGATTTACAATTATGTTACACAAGAATGCAAGTACCAGTTTCAATCTCATTGCGCATTGCAAACTGACTCCTACAGGTAACATCCTAAAGTTGCAGATCTTCTATTGGAATAATTGTAACCTATTCTTATGAGTTAGCTTGTTAGTGGAACTTGTCTTATCACCAAATAATGTGTGAACATGGACTAACTGATAGCCTGGCAATATCATCACTGATGACACAAACTGCCAATCAACCATTGGCCCTACGATGTACAACTTGCACACAGTTTAACTGCTGTGATTTAGCTAGAGCCTGACCCGATTTCAAATGGCAACAAGTTATCGCTATGGTGTCTAAACAAAAGTATCAACAAAATACGAAAAAAGTTGCTACTTTGTATGCAATTGAGAAGAACATTTCACTTTTCTGTGACAATATTTTTCTGATAAAGTAATTGCATGTATTTGCAAATACAGCAACTTTGATATGAAAATGAAATAACTACAGTGCTGCCATAACTTACATTGTAAAAGTAGCATAAATATTGATAATTTTATTTTGTACATTTGAACTAAAATTCCAAATAATTAAAAAATTTATTAAATAAACAAGCTTAAAATTATTTGTGTAAGATTGTCTATTTTCTTGTCTTGATATTAAAAATAATTGATTTTAGATATCAATATTCACACAGAAGTGACCCCAGCTAATGAACAAATTTATTATACTTTCAGCATATTTAATTAACCTTTCCAAAATGCGTTTTGACTTTACTGGACCTTTTCAATTGGATAACATACAAAAATCAGTCTATGAAGACTATTGCCAACATTACAATATAGCTTAGAAATACAATAATTATAAATTATATCTAGGTCTGTAACAATGCAATACAATACAAGCCTAGTAAAAATCTTGGGAATAATCCTTTTGTCTTCCTATTACAATATAATGTAAAAGTACAATAATTTGTAATTATTGTACTTCTAAGGCATATTGTAATGTTAGCAACAGTCACTATATGCTCTGTTTTTTGTATGTTATCAAATTGAAAAGGGCCAATAATGCCAAAATGCTTTTGGAAAGGTTAATTAAATAAGCTGGGAGTATAATAAGCCTGTTCATTAATCCTAAGTAACTATATTTTTGTAATTTATTATGTGTGTTTATTAAGGCTTTATAATTTATGTAAATTTAGGTGCACAATTTATCTATTATGGTCTAAAAAAGAGCCACACAAATGGCCAAAACATGTAATGCAAATACAAGATAAATGGATGAAATAAAACTGTATTCCAAAAAACATTATGAGTCTGAGATTCATGGAAAACAGGAAATAATGTTGTTATATCCATGCAAATTCAAATAAGGATATTACAGATTACTATCATCTATACGAAATATTAAAATTAGCATAATTATTAATAATAAGTTCAGTATAAGATGGCAACCTAACTGCCTACCTTTAGACTAAATTACTTTATATATCAATAATTAATAACTAGCTCAAAATAATCCAGTATTTAAAGACTATTATTTAAAATTATATACTATATCATTAGTTATTTAAAAAAAGTAATAACAAACCTTGAATAATGATACCACCAATTAATACTGGGATTAACTTGCAACATTTGAAAACAACTTGAGTAGGATAATTCAGATATCCAACCGAAGTATTAGACAAACCAATAGAACCAACCGTTAGCAATGCTAACAATGCATATGTCTTTATTGGGACCATACTGTATAAAATAATAATTAATGAAAGTCAAGTCTAAGTATAAAATAAAATAAAAATCATAAATTCAATTTATGGCTTACATTTACAAAATAATTATCTAGTAGTTATTAAAAATTAATTAATTATTAATAATTCTAGAAAATAATTTTTATAAAGTTAATTAAACTATTTTTCAAATAGAAGAAATAAATATTATCTTTAGAAAAATTATAACATTTGGTAATTATCTATAAAACAAATAATCTAATTTTAGAATGTTTTTTAAAATTATTTTCTTTTTGACATCAACAATTTTAAAAAATGTTCTAATATTAGAATCTCTAATGTTCTGTAATGATTGATGCTTCACGTAGGCCCCTAAAAAGGACCGAAAACTTTCTGTTCATATTTAATTCAAATACAAATTATTTGCTTGAAGTTTGTGTGTATGGTATATAGTTTTAATGTGAACAAATTAAAACTATTCCAGCTGTTGGAGACTTTTATGCTACAGCATATAAGTCTATAAAATTGAAATGATGGGATGTATTTTGAAATTTAATTTAATTTTATAGATTTGTATTGTAAAGTTTCTACATCATTTGAATGTATAATATAATTTAAATTTTTAAGCATTGATTCAATACTGTTTTATTCTATATTTTATTGAAAGTCAATTCAATTTCAATTTCATATGAAATTTGGCTAAAGCTGAGTTGAGAAGAATCAGAAAGTTTCCAAAATAAAGTAATTTAAAACATTTTGGTCTCTAAATTAGCAAATTAAAAGAATGTACAGTAATGCGTAAGATATGCAAATCGTAGACCTTTATGTAACCCAAATTTGTAAATTGCTTAAATGTAATTACATAATTTAAGAGCTTATTTCCAAAGTGATGTATCTCCATTTTTTATTTTTTTTTTTTAGTTTATGGCACCAACACATTGATATTATCTATAGTTCTACAATATTTTTTCCAAAACGGATGTTTCTTCTGTTGAAAAATGTATCAAAAAATTGGTTTTCTTTTCAAATGTGACATTTTTTGTTTTGTATTTATTTCCAAACTGTTGCATTTCCATAACAGCCAATTACAAAGTGTATATTGATCATGTGACAATTTTACAGTAATGACTGCTTTCTGAAGTGCAAGTGCTATTGTGTTTGATTGTTTTCTTAATTTTTCTTTAATAATGGTCACATTTTCTGAAGAAGTTCAAAAAGTATTTAGTCGATATGCTAGAAAGAGGTCACATCCTTATTTTGTAAAAATTTTCGCAAGGAAAATGCAAACATCAAAAAAATTCATTTGTTTTCTGATGGATGCAGTGCACAAAACAAAAATTACACAATTTTAGTAATAATAAGTAAACTTTCAAATATATATAGTGTAATTTTTAAGATTACATAGATAACCATACCCATACCCATAGATAGGGCCTTTGGAAACATGAAAAAAATGTTAAGAAAACTGAACTGTTTCTTTTACCAGAAGACTTTTGTTTTTATATATTAAAAGTTTTTGACCATCTATTTGTTTTTACTACATTATCCATTTAAATACTTTGGAACAAAATTGCAGCAAGTCCATAAATACCATTTCTTTTGCATTAGGATTTTTGTCACTATTAAACCTATATTCAGAATATAAAAATAAAACTCTGTACCAATAATTAAGTTTTACCTTAACATTTAAAGCAATTATTTAAAATTTGCAGTTTTTGGAAATTTATATTTCCTGCAGTTACATAGCTTTGGAAATAAGCTCTTCAATTAATAACTCAATACTGTATCTATTATTATATATGTACTGTACATATATTAATTATTTTTTACCAACAAATTCAGTTTGTCATTTCGATTCCATTTTAATCATACAGTACTGTACATAAATAATGAACACTATGTAAATGTAGCGGTAGTAAACAGGTTATGTATTAAACAAATCACTAGAGGCAAACTACTCTAATGACATGAAACAATAAATATAGAAAAGCAAGCAATGAAGATGTACTTGGTTTCACTGCTCAACTTTCACTGTGTACTTCAGAAGAATCTTGTTTATGAGAAAGAGTGCCCAGTACGCTTATGCACGTCCTTACAATTAGACCAAAAAATAAAGTATTCGCAGAGCAATAAAGTAATAAATCGGTACAGTGCAAAAGAAAGAAAGGAAAAGAGAGAGAGAGAGAGAGAAAATGAATGAATAAATGTTTAAAACAGAATGTATGAATTAGAGATTCTTTGTAAAATTACATGTTACTGTACTCAGATTTTTTTTTTTTTTCAATTTTTGAGATTTACATTTTACATAACTGCAAATTTACATAAGTCGCGTGTTAAATACTCAGGGTATTACTGTATAACTAACACTGGAAACATATAATATTTTCAAGCCACTAAACCTCTTCAGCTTCCAGCAAAACATGTAAAATGTAGCAACAAACAAATGTTTTTGGAATCTACCTGATTCCAGTTTCAGATTTACAGAGTTCATTTTGAATTGCTTTTGTTGTATTCCAATTTGCAGTGGCACACACAAGATTTACTCTTTAGGAGAGCCAAGTTGATCAGATAAAAAAACTTTTTAATTCAAACTCAATAAACTTCCCAAATTATGTGACTGTTATTTCATAAGTAATATAAAAATACAATACATGACGCAATATAGATAAAAACATAAATTTTACTTAGGAAAATATTTTTTGGAAAATTTACCAGTGTTTCCTTTAATTTCAAAGATGCGAAGACCCCTTGGCCAATCCCAGGGGTGCATCACTGAGAATTTGAAATGAATCAGGTGGATTCCGAAAACATTTGTGAATTTGTGAATGCATTTTACGTGCTTTGCCAAAGGATGAAAAAGTTTAGTGGTCTGAAGAAATAGTATGTACAGTTTTTCATTATTTTTAGAATATTAAATTAAGTTAAAAAACAAAAAATTTTAGATTATGTATAACGTACTACTCTTATGATGAGATGATCATCTCATCGTAAGAGTACTCATCTTTAATCAAGTACCACATCTTAACAAGATTAGAATTATAGCAAAATTTATAAAATGTATTAAGAATACTAAGCCAAATGATCACCATAATTAATCAGATTATTATTATGCTATAATTAATAATTAGATACAAAGTAATCGTTTGGCTTACTATCAATACATCGGTCCTTGGGATGTTGATATATATGTATTAAAAATAATTAATTTACTGTAATTAGATAAACAATACAGGTTAATTATATAGTTTGTTACCATTATGCATTTTCATTCTAATTTGCTTTTTAAAAGACATATATTTGATAGACATTTCCAAAAAACAGAATTATTTAGTGTTGACCCATATAGAAAATATGGGTCAACACAAAATACATATGTGCTCGAGAAATATGTCACAGATGTTACGTGGCTGATGTTTCTAGGTAGTCATGTAATCAAGTGACATCGAAGCCAGGTCACATAACATATTTTGTACGTCCCCCATACACTGAGCTGCTTCACAACGAAAATGAACTTAAGCAATGGCAGCCCAAACAGTACAGAGTCGGCAAGTAGTCCTATCGGTTTTTGTTTATAGCATTTTTCATGTGAGTTGCATAAATATTCTATGTGCTTTGGAAATGCCTATCAAGTATGCATGTTTTAAATAACAAACTAGAAAAAAATGCATAATGGTAAGAAACTATATAATTACCAAATGCAGAAAGCCAAATTAACAGAATTAAATAATTGACTCAAAAAATATTTTTTGAAAAAAATTACAGCTTACCTTCTATGACAACTTTTATTTACACGCCATTCTAGAAAAGATATAAAAGCATATAATAAAAATTGCATGAAAGTTAGATACAATCCGAAAGGTTTAAATTCTTCTAACTGAAAAATCAATTCCTGAAACACAGAAAGCATTTATGTAGATGGCACTATTCAAAGTAATATATTTAATAACTCCACTCACCTGCAAATAACCATAGATAATAAAAAATACAAAAACAAGGAAGGAACAAATAAGAATTTTTAGTGAATTTGATAAATGATCTATCTTGAAACAGAACAGAACTGTAATTGAATAAGCATCTTTAGCATCTACAGGATGTATTTTGATGATTTTTTCTTCGTTACAATTCCTGTCTGCTTTTAATGCACTCATTTTGACTGTTTAAATTTCAATATCTTGTCCACGATTACAACGTGTTACTGGAAATCGTGTATAGAACTGGTGTGGTAGTACTAACATTGTAATAAATATTAACTGATCAGCTGTCGTTGTTACGGTCGGTTGATTGGTTGGATGATTTACAAAACAGTAAAGTATACCACGTGAGTCCACCATGCGTGAAATATAGAACACCACCTGGAGACGGAAATAGGAGGGAGCTTTATCAAAACTTCCTTTTGTTTTTTTGAGAATTTAATTCGTCTTATTAATTAAGTAATAATTTTTTAAATTACGAAATTAATATTTATATTTATTAAGTTTTCATTATTTTTACCATTTCATTTTTAGCAAAAAGTTCGATTTATACTCAACACACTGAAGTGTTTTTATTGAATTAGTAATTTAACTTAAATTAAATAAAAGTTGACATTATTCATTCTTATGATATTATAATATATTTAAATATACAATACAAGTAGTTTTAGACTTTATCGTAAATAACTTAGAAAAAAAAGCGTAGCTTCTGTATATGTCAGCCGGATGCCGTCAGGTTAGAGTGGCGGCTAACCGCTCTGGAGGATCCGAAATGGAATAGGGACGGGTCGAAAATATTTAGGAATTTTTCTGGTAGTAGTCCGTCCGGATGTATCGGGTCACGTTCCTCATCACCCGTCTACTTCATCGTGGGTTTGGCGTTTGTACTGTATACATCTGGGTTTGAAAAAAAGGCTTTCTTAGTGCCTTTAGGCGGGAAGTATTAAAAAAAGCCTATATGAATGATGATCGTAGTGGTGAACTCGTTAATCAACTGTTCTGATGAAAGCGGGTTCGAGTTCATCGGAATTTTTACAAGCATTTCTGGATATGATAGATTTCCTTTCTCATCACTCTAGTGCTCCACTTTGGTCTGGACTGACCCGTAATGATCATAAGAAAGGTGACGACCGGATGGTTGAACCAGTAAAGGCATTAATCTGTCGTTCTAGGAGATCCATGTTTGAGTTTGAATCGAAAATCTCAGAAATTTTTTGTAATCTGTCCGAGTTATGCTGAGCCTTAGTCTTCACCATCCGACTGCCCTCTATTATAGATTTGGCCGAATCATGACGGGTATTAAAAAGTTCAAAAACAGTACAAGAGAGGTTCTCTTAGTGTCCGCAACAAGTTAAAAAACACTAAATATATGAACATAACTTTTAATCTAAATTTTTACTTTTATCAAGAAAACAATACTTTTTTGTTTGTTTTTTATTCGTTTCGGCCTAATGTCTCTTTCTAAAATGCCCATTATAATTAGGCCCAGAAAGTGACGACCGGATGACAAGGGACAGACTACATCATATTCCGACGGTTCACTTCAAAAAATTATTCAGGGTATTTCGACTCGTCCCCATTCCATCCCAGAGAGGTAGGTTATTGTTTCAACCGCTAGGCCTACAAAGAAAATATTAATATTTGTTTTTTTGTCATTAAAATATTTTAAATATAACATAAAAATTAAATAACGTACTTCAAACATCTGTAGACATATGTATAACAGGTGCGAACTACATAACGAATACTAGCGATAAACAGGTCTTCGTATAATACATAACTCCTATCAGAGACATATCACGAAACAGAAGGTAATTCAGGCAATGTAGATAAATTTTTAACTCCCAATTTTGCAGAGAAATTCGACAAACACATATTAAAATTTTCCATTTATATTGAAATAAACTTCTGCTATTAAAAGCCAGCGGTTTATAGCACAGCAAGAGTCTTTGCCTAATCTATATATATAATCGAAACGGGTTGATAATAATAATAATAGTAATAATTAGCAAGTACACAGAACTCGCCCAGGAAATAAGGCATCTGTGGAGGATGGATAGGGTGCTTATTGTACCTGTTGTTCTCTTCTGTACAGGTGTGATACCACATACACTACACAAAAGCCTGGGAACATTACAATTGAATAGAAATACATATATAACACTGCAGAAGGCCACTATATTGAATACATGCAATATTGTTAGGAAATTCCTGAATACAGACACTGACACACTTATTTCATTTTAGTTTTTGGTTGCTATGCCTTGACTCTGGTCCGGCATAGTACACAGCCACCGGTGTGTATCGAGTATAATCCACTAAACCCAACACAATAATAATAATCAGCGCAGAGCCCTAACGGTTAGGAGTTGAAAGTTGAAATTTGGTACACAGTTAGGGTACGTCACGAGAACGCACACTAAGAACGGATTTTTCGAAATTCCTCCCCACGGGGAGAGGGACAGGATTAAGGCTTCGACAATGGAAGAGTGAAGTAATAATGGAATTGTTAAGAGAAAGCGACGTGCAAGATGCAGATGCAGTTTTTTTTCGTTTTTGAGGGAAATCGAACATACTTTTAGATTCATCTAAAAATTCTCTAATAAGTGCGAAAACAGGGAAACCCAATTCTTGCAGTCTGTGAAAACGGGTAAGGTTGACAATAACGTAATAATCTTAATCTTCGCTATCGTTACTTTTGCCCGAGCAACGCCGGACTTATCTGCTAGTTATAGTTATAATTGCTTTACAGTCCTTACTTCTAAAATTATTTTAAATTGTCTACTTAGACATTACTCATTAATAGGGCTTTATACTGGTGTTTAAAAAATTGACACAATAATGAAACAAAATTTTCTTTATTATATCACCTGTAGTAGTAATTTTTTCTGTACACTTACACGTGTTTTGGGCTAACATNACACTACTTGTTTTCAAGAAACACTTATTATATAATACGTATTAAAAAATGATTGCGACGAAGTAAAATAATAAAAATCCGTAATAATAGGAGGACTGTAGTCTGCCAGACGTGAAAAAATAACCCGTAGCAACGGGTGTTTGTTATAAAGGCTTCTGTTACAGTGAATTCGTTTTCTTATACTTTTGGCTGGACTGACGTTAGCCGTCTGTAATAAATCGAGATCCGTTATATCAAGGTGCGCAATACCCAGCTATAATTTACTGACAAGTATTAATAAAATATAAAAGAAATAACTGAATACTCGTTTTTTCATAAATGCTACATTTTCTGGAGGATTTGGATTTCAAGTCGAATTTGTATAAAGTTTCGTATGACAGGTGTGCTTTACCAGTCCTTCATACTCCATGATTTAACCTATAATGGGTACGAAAAGAAGCCATCTAAATACTGTATAATTTGTTGTAGATACCTGTACATTTTTTATATATGGCTGATGAGTGTCTTGATACCAAAATGCATACCAATAATAAAGTCGCATTCTGATGATGGAAGTGTCATTTTAATATTATCAGTGGCAGTGTAATTAGTCTCTATTATCTCTACTATTATATTTGAGATATTAATTTGAACAATTTTCGAGATAAGAAGCTCATTTATGGTTTTCTTACAGTACATAACCGATTAAATTTATCTACAAAAACAACACAAATCTTTAATCAAAATAAATTCAAAATACTAATATAGTCCTAAATTTGTAAATCTGTACTTGACTCAATTGTCCTGTATCAAGAGAAATATTATATGGAGAATAATTAGAATCAAAATATATAAATCCTAGAAATAAAATCAGATGCTTTTAAGCAATTTACATAATACACTTAGTAGTGAAGATCGCTGGTGTAGTTTCAGTCATGTGACTTAAAGACAAACACGGAAATCAATCCTTTACGTCATATTCTATTCAAAATATTCTTTCTTTTAAGGAAACCTGCATTTGGTTTATTTAACGGAATATTGTGCAATAGAACCAGGAAATATAACCTTAATCGACACCTAAAATTCTTCGTATTTTCAGTACGCTCTTAGATAGTTAAGAATAAAAAATGTATTCAGGTTACGCGAAACGTAGTTTGTGCTTTGTGTGTTTTCTAGGACCAATCCTCACGTCTTTACAGATATTTGGAATTAAAATCATGTATTGCAATTGTAAGAAGTCAAATGAAAATTCGAAATATCTGTCAAAGTTATATCCTTTGTACCAAACTGCTATAGAGGTATTTATGTGGACTAACATGATTCTTTCTGCTCAAGAGATAACAGACAATTTGGTTTGTGTCGGATGGATCCGAATGTTCTCTAATAATCAAATATTAGTAAAATTTATTATAATTACATGTGGTATATTTATATCTTTTCAATTTACTTTATTTAAAAGAAAAAGACTTTATTTTCCTAGAAATAACAGTGGATATGAAGAAGAGGAAAAAATAGCAGATAATATTCAAATTATTTTTATAGCTGGTCTTACACTTTTATTTTTTACAATGATTACAGTTATTACCATAATTGATTTATTTTTGTATCGTACATTAAAACGAATAAGTGATTCAAAGTTTGAGATTGCATTCTGTAATCTGAACATCACATTACTGTGCATTTACGCAATTGGACAATTAGATTGTTGTATTTTTGTAATAGGTGCAGCTGCCGTTATGCTGTCAAAGAGATTCAAGTATTTATCTGGTGTATTCGATGAATTGACAAAAGAAGAACATTTCCTCAAAATTAAAATCGAAAGTTTGATTCAAACTCATTGGGTTTTATGGACTTATATACAAGAAATAAATCTAGTATGTGAAGCATACTTTCCAGCAGTATACTGTTTTGGAATATATCAAACAAGTTTTTTTTATCTGCGCATTCTTTTTTTTTCGAACTTGATGTTTTCATGCGTTTTGCAATCTTTATTCTTTTATTAGCTTTTATAGTCGTTAGTACGGTTTTAACTTTCCAAGCATCTCGGTTTACTTCTTCGGTGAGTTAAACTTATACCTATCTTATCTTATTAAGTAAATAGCTTTAGAATTATTCTTGAAAAATAAAAAATTAAAATATTTATATACAGTAAATTAATCAATTATTCTAAGTTACAATTATGATAAACGTTTGAAAGAGAAAATGTTTCATTTTTTTAAATATTGTAATTGTTTAACGAGTGTCCCGTTCTGTTAAATAAAGACGAATGTTGTTTTCCTTCTACAGGTCATCGGTAGAAATGTTCTATAAGAGAATGTAAGTTTAATATTCTATTGCAACTAAAACATGGAATTGACGTATCAATCAAATCATTGTCTAAAAGCATTTGTTTCTGATAATGATTTGAAAGTTTTTGAATACTTTTATGCTTAACATTACTTATCTTTGTCAATCATTTCCCAAAGAATATTTTACATCACATTTTCAAGATTATCTCTTAAAAATACGAAGATTTCCAAGATTTGATTTCAGCTCCTCTCAGAGTTTTGATTGGGCTCCTTACTAAATCTTTGGATTATTCTTGAGATATTCACTAAAATCCAATCATTGAGACATCTTTATAATAAATAATCTCATCATTTCTATATTGTGAATATAGAGAACGTAGGACAGGTGTGCTTTATCAGTCCTTCATACTCCATGATTTATTCTATAATGGGTACGAAAAGAAGCCATCTAAATACTGTATATTTTGTTGTAGATATCTGCAGAATATTATATATTTTCTTGATTTGAGAATTATCATGAAACAAAAATTAACATTTAGAATTTTACTAGAACTTCTCATGAAAGTCTTATGACTATTCATTCTATATATCTACGTATCGTAATAAGTTTAAATCAGAAAATTGTTTATGTTTAAGCTATAACCTTCATATTCTAGCGAAGGAAGTACATTTCTGTTTGCATGAGAAATGAATTTCTATTGCTACTTGCATACTCACACCCACTAAATATAATATACATTATTTATTTATTTAAGGGGTATTTAGTATAGGGATTTGGTTACATGACGTAAATATATCCTGTATATTAAAGTCACGTATAAGTTGGCCACTTTAGATTTTCTCTTTGGTAACGCAATTCCCTACTGAATGCAAAGTTCATTGAATAACAGGGCAGGTGTATTATACATATTGCTACATGAAAGGCCTGAAATAATAATTTAAATTATATTTAAGTAATTTATATTTCTTCTAAAGCCTTAAACTTGTTAAGCATCTTTTTTTCACTTCGAACATACGTTTACGCAAAACAAATGTCGAGTAAACGTATCGAACAAAATTCATTAAGTTTGCATTTACAATCACATTTGTCTTTTTTATGAATTTCAATATTATATATAAAAATTTATATATATACGAATTATACAATTGTTGTTTATGACTAATTTTAATTTTTGAAGTTTTATGAAAAGTTCGTTGAAATTGATAAATTGAGTTCTGCTGATCTACCGTTAGAAACTAAACTGAAGGTAATTCAAATAAATTTAAACGTTTTCAATTGGTTTATTAATTTAATATGTTAAACATAATTAAATAATTTTATTTCTTTAAAAAAGATGCTGAATTTTATGAAAAGATTCGGTAAAACTCCATTTGGCATAAACGTCGGCGGATTCTTTTATGTTAAAAAGAACTTCTTCATTCGAGTAAGTTCATTCAATACATTCTGTTATACTTTATTTAAGTTGTAGAAATGTGATTTATAACTGGATGAACACAAATCAATTGGTATTCTTAAACATCGTATTAAATACAAAAATCTCTTTCGGTATATATAATGATTTTTTAATATTCTGTTACAGTTTCTGTGTGCCATATATTCAGCGCTGTCTGTCTTTGTAGAACTTTTAGTAGCCAAGAAGCCACCTCCTTGTAAAATTAAAATTGAAAATCTAATACATTAAGCTGTCTTACCTCATTAAATGACAGAAAAATGAAGTATTACGTTCGAAGAAGGACGTCGAGTGTGGTCTTTTAAGAAAAATCCGAAATATAAAAAAAAATCAAATATTTTACGCCTTACAAAATGTAAAATTTGACTCTCGGCTTTCTGGTACGATGTTAAGTCATCTGCCTATATTATATTTAATGTTATTATTTATGTATTAATTCGCTCCGCACTATTTTGTATTATAAACTGCATCTAAATTTGTTTCGTCATAAATTATTTTTTTACTATATTTTTAAAATATTTTTTATGGATTGCTTATTTAATATACATATAGAAATCGTAGTATGTAAGATAAATCTATATATATAATCGAGACGGGTTGATAATGATAATGATAATAATAATAAGCGCAGAGTCAAAACGGTTACAAATTTTGTACACAGTTAGGATACGAGAATGCACACTAAGTCACGAGAATAGTCACGAGATAGTCTCGACATAGATCACGAGAATGCACACTAAGAAGGATTTTTCGAAATTCCCTCCCAGGGGGAGAGGGACAGGATTAAGGCTTCGACAATGAAAAAGTGAAGTAACAATGGCAGTGTTAACAATGGAAGTGTCAACAATGAAAGTTTTAACAATGGAAGTGTTAAGAGAAAACGACTTGCAAGATTTACAGGCTCAGATGCAGTTTTTTCGTTTTTGCGGAAAATCGAACATTTTTTTAACCCATCTAAAAATTTTCTAATTAATATGGAAACAGTGGGACCTAATTCTTTCATTCTTTGAAAACGGGTAAGATTGACTGTAACGTAATAATCTTAATTTTCGCTATCGTTACTTTTTGCCTGAGCAACGCCGGGCTTATCTGCTTTTAAATATATATTCTTTATATTACTCAGCGCTTTCTAAAATTTTTGCGCTCGCGCGTATCAATATACAGTGGACCCCTATAACGCGGGTTCATATAATGCAGATTCGTATATCGCGGCGAAAAAATTGCGACTGTATTCGTATAAAGACACTAACAGCGACTCGTAAAATGCGGTAAAACTTCATCGCCGACTCGTGTCGCGACAGGATTGGTCGAATCTGGTCCAATAGTGGACGAGCAGCCAAACTACTTACACACTACAGAGAGTTTAGGCGGGTAAGTTGAGTTTACTATCGTCTGTACAGTATATAAATTAAGTACTGTAAGTCTAATACAGTACTGTAATTTTATACATTTCTTGTGAAAAAAACTTTTATTATTCAATGGCCATAAAAATTATTTCTATTAATGATGTCTCCAAAGTTCAACGAATTTTTTGCAGAAAATTAACTTATCAGAAAACACGCCCGCCGTTTGGTGCGCCGTTTCGCGACGAAAACAAGCTTAAGCAATGGCGTCGTCAAACGGTGCACACTCGGTAAGTAATCCTACAATTTTTTGTTTATAGCATAGTTTATACCAGTATTTCTCAATGGGGCGATATCGCCCCCATGTGGGCGTTTTTCATGTTGAGGGGGCGATTTCTAACAATTTATATTTTCGGGGGCGAAAAACAATTTTCTAGGCGATATAGTAAAACATTACATTAAGAATAATTAGATATTTTATTCGTTACATCGTACAATAATTAAACAAATAACATTATACTAGTCACTAGTCTGTTCAATGCAGTACGAATTTGGCGTTAGCCTTGGCCCTCGGCATCGGAATTTTGAAGTGAAGAAGGCGATACTACGTTGAAGGGGGTGACGATTCGTTAGAAGTTGAGAAACACTGGTTTATACGGATTATTTCCAAAAAATATACGTCTTTTGGAAATGTCGAGTCAAATTAGACTAGAATCGATTAATTTTATTTGGAGGACTACGGCTGTTTGAAGAAAACCTTTCAAACAGCCGTAGTCCATAAACTGCACACGTCCGGGCTGTGATTGGTTCGTGTATTTAAAAATTCCTACAACGCGAAATTCTTATAAAGTGGAACGTATCTACAGCATTATAGGGGGGTCGACTGTGTATGCTTGTTATGGTTCTGCGAATTAAATATTTATAAGATAACATTTTAAAAAAACTCTGGTAAAGTAAATACACTGTATATTATATAACGAAATAGAATTATGAAATCACTGATAAGTTTTATGTATTGTTCGGGCCTATTCGATTTATAACAAATGATTTAATTCAATTTTAGCTTTACCTTCCTCGCTGTTATATATAACACTGGGAAGTATGGAGAGAGGTCAAAAAGTGACCTTAAGAGTTTTACATTTTTGAACTGAAGGGTGTTTAGAACGTTGAGAAATGCAAATAAATATATTTAGAGATTTTTTCTATATGTGTGGAAGTTTGTGTGTTAGGAAATTGATGCTTTTAAATATTGGTAATTAATTGTCTGAGTTGATGAGGTAAAGAATGCCGTGTGTATCTACAGTAGAGTCGGATTTTAATAAACAGTTTATTTGTGATTAGCATTTACAATCTAAATATATAAAATTACTTGCCCTTACAGTCTAAATATATAAAATTACTTGTCCTGACTGACTGACTGACTGAATGACTGATTCATCATCGCCCAGAGCAAACCGCTGAATCTAAAGAGGTGAAATTTGGAACACAGTTAGGGTACGTAATGAAAACGCACACTAAGAAGGAATTTTTCGAAATTCTTCCGCGAAGGGAGAGGGAAAGCTTTAAGGCTTAACCGGAAAAACGGTTAAGCCTTAAAGCTGTACTTACGTTCTACTGTAGTATTTTACATCCGATTTTTTGTTTTTAAATACGTTCTAGTAGAGTACGCGATGAGAATGCACACTAAGAAGGGATTTTTCGGAATTCATCCCATGGGGAGAAAGTTAAGGATTACCGTCTACCCCATGATAGGAGGGTAACCGTTAGAAGGTGTTTAAAAAGGATAATCCCTAGAGACGATAATCCTTAACTCTCTCCCCACAGAAAGGGAAAAATTATCCATTGATATGAATTTATTATTTATACAACTGAATGACACCGCTGTTGCTAGATGCCCACTAAAAAGCGGTCCGGGCTATCAGTATATATAAAAACCATTGATCCCATTCTTTGTATATCTGTAATCACAGAGTGTCTAGAACTCCCTTAGAAATGATTTTCAGCTATTATTTAAATTAATAGTATAATCTATTTATAAAAGTATAATTCGATATATTATTATTTTTATTTGTAATGGGAATTTATTAATGATATAAATTTATTATTTATACCACGGAAAGACACCGCTGCTGCTGCTAAATCGCCCACCGCTGCAGCCTCGGTACGGTTTCCAGGGGGGCGTACCGGGCTAACTTGTACATATAGAAAATATAAATTCAAGTAAAAGTGAATACAAATAATTTATTATCAAAAATATTGTTTTTATAGAATAATAATTTCTTGGTTTATCCGTTCTTTCTAAAGCAGATTTTATTTATTTAGTTTTTCAGATTTTCTTAATTTTATTTTTAAATTCGAATGAAGGTAATTTCGTTTTTATCTTTAAGGGTGCGGCGCGTATAATTTTAAACTGCTGGAATTTGTCTCAAATGATAAGCCCGTTTTCTTCCAACGATTTAAAAAATATTTGAATACTTTAAACATTTTGTGAAATTAATACTTTATTATCTAATGTGACCGTAGGGTCGGCACCTCTTCGGCGCCCTGTCAGGATGACACCACCGAGTCTCTAGGGGACTCGGAAATCGCGACTTTATGTCACGAGATTCGCGAGCGGTAGCGTGTGAGCGCTTGGATTCGGAGTAGAGGTGAGGAGAGAGACGCGGAAGTAACTTACTCGGACTCCATAGTAACAAGTAAATAACGATTTTAATTAAGTCGAACTAAATACTATACAGAGATACTAAATACTATCGGCATATTATTATCCTTAACTATACTAGGCCGCGGAGAGAGAGAGTTTACAACCGAATCGCGGGTTGATAAATACCTTGTCGATGGACAGTTCTTTGAATCTTGAATGGACAGTTCTTTGATGGACAGTTCTTTGAATCTTGTCGTTGAATCTTGAATCAGAATCTTGTCCGTTCACTGGGGTGGAGGCACGGAGGAGTGTAGAGGCTTAATCCAGCACGAATGTTTTTCTCGGGTTTAATCCTGGTCGCGGTTTTAATTCGGTGTTACGGTTTTAATCCTGGGGCACGGTTTTAATGGTTTGGAGGACGACTTGGTTGGGCGGGCTTGAATGACGACTTCTGTAGAGGGACTTCGGATGACGACTGACCTCGGGATCGTTTTCTTTTCTCTTTTTTTTTTCTCTTGGGTTTTTTCCATGAGGTCAGGTGATGGCCTTTAACGGTCGCACGTCCAATATGGATTCTCCATCAAAAGTTCCTGGTGACACATCCCTGACTAACTTGATTCGACTCAACAAGGAACAAACTCCGTGGGAAATAAATTTTATGGCTTTTAGCCTAACTCGATAAAACGTTCGAATTTAACCGATTATATTTTCCAAATTAAAATTTAAAATAACACTTTATTGTGGGTCTGTTCGTCCCTCACACTAATATTTCACTATATTAAAATTTCACATCAATAAAGTACTTCTTGATACACAATAATTCTATTTAGCAAAATGAACAAAGCATTAAAGAAAAATTCGAAATTGTTTTGGCCTAATTTAATTACAATTAAACTTAACTCATCAATTTGATTGCCGAATTACATGAGCGGCCATTTTGGAACCATAGGTAACATTAACCTTTGTTTGTGTGGATATTTTCAACCCGTTATCGGTATTTAAATCGTTTGTTGTAAACATTTTCTTCTTGGGCTGCAATTTGAAAAAATTTGAAAAAAAAATAAATGTAGGAGTATTGACAGAACTAGAAATAATAATAATCTTCCAGCGTCTTCTCGATAGAACGATGATGTTCTACGGTCCTAACGTCTTTCCTTCATCGCGCCTTTTTCAACCGTCGTCTCGTTCTCTTTTCGTCTAACAAGTAAA